AAACACATTAGGTACAAAAAACAGGTGCAGTCAAAGAATTGAGTGTGTGACTTAAAGGAATGAAATCAAAATTTGTGGCCATACTGGTAACTACACTTATAGCATTGATAAGAATTTTACAGCAAATATTCATTCATTAGTTAACTAAGCCACATATTTTATTTTACCCACCATCATGCCCCAAGGTGAACATAAAACATGGCCTGACTAACTAATGAATGAATATTTGCTGTAAAATTCTTATCAATGCTATAAGTGTAGCTACCAGTTTAGCTGACAATTTTGATTTCATTCCTTTAAGTCACACACTCAATTCTTTGACTGCACCTGTTTTTTGTACCTAATGTGTTTATGATTAGATATCCTGACTTTTTTCAATACACACCAACAAACCACAGCAAGTAAGAAAGTGACACTCGATAATAACCAACATTAGCTTTAGGATTGCAACCCTACTATTTGGAACAGACCTATACTTTACAAAACCAACCAGATTCTTTAAAATGTATGGTGGTAGTTTGGTCTCTAAAAAGAGTGTTAATAACTTCCTTTATAATAAGTAACTAGATTAACAGTTTCTTGTCATGACCCGCATGCACTTGGATCAGCCATATCAAGCATCATTATTTACGCTAATTGCTGAAAATTATATCATGTGACATTAATTGCTCTTTAATTAGGGGAATGTTATAAAATTTAGCAAATTCATGCTAAAAAGTTGCCAATGAATAATGAACAATAATCCACCCATATGATTCTTTTAAAAATTTGTGCTAGAAATTGCTAATCTAGTTTGCTTGACCTATCCAATACTTATGTATCTACACATGTTATCACCCTATAGTTTTGCTGGTCTAAATCAACTGTCTTTAATCTAAATGACAACAACTAAAAATGGTCCACTTTTATTCTTAGGTGAAGCTTTAGTAAAAATTTCAGACTGATAGCTCAAGTGACTTTTTGCTTTAATGTTCTTATAAAGTTATGTGGCTAAGTACAGATTTTGTCCAATGTTAATGTTGTTATTAATATTAATGTTTACTTGAAGAATTTTCCATTAAACAGCATACACAAAAAGTTGCTATTAAAAATATGAATGCATACCTTTACCATAACTATTTAACTTTTCTCCTGTCTAATTGCCAAGATGCATACCTATTTGTTTTCATTTATCTCTCAACTGTCTATTTTAATGTGATTGATTGTTAATATCATGATTTTTTATGGGTTTGTATGCATCCTGGAAAAATGTTCTTAAATTACCTGAAAAAAATTACCAAAACTCCAAGTAAACTATAAGTATAAACATTTATTTCTACTGCTGATGTTTTAAACAGGTTTTAGTATGTAACAAAGAAATAAATAGTTATGTCCATTTTTGAATATACTACTAGTAAACTTGAAGACTTACATTGACTAACAATGTAGCTGATCTCAATCTAGCATACAAGGCAAGGCAAGTTCAGTAAGACTGAAGCAGTTGTAAACAGTATCCCAAACTGAATTATTTTCAAAGTCTAGTTGACAATAAAAAACAATGTAGTGAGTATTGTCATTATTTGAAAAAATTTATTTAAAACAGGCAGAGGTTAACATTTTACTTACACTGAAAACCTTTTTTTGTTAGGTACTTGCCTCTATTCACACAAAGCTATCTTGATCTTCTTTTGCCCTCTAAGCATCGCTAGAAAAATTGACGCAATCTGCACACCACACTATATATCCCATGAATTATATGCCATTATTGCACCACATATATTGGCACAGCTAGCTTCCTCTGCTATTCCTGTTCAATCCTCAAAAGAATACTGGCAGTGGGGAGGAAGGGTGAGGAGTGTTGAGGTGGTGTGTAGGGGTAAGTACCTATCAGAAATACATTTTCAGTGTAAGAAAAATTTTAACTTCCTACATGGTCTTACCTCCTTTCACAAAACTAGAATCCCACATTGCAAAGGTGGAGGGCTGGTGTAGGTGCACGAAACTGAAACCAACTAGAGAACAACCACCCAGAATGAATGGGTATGCCCTGAGATGAAAATGAAGCACTTGTGAGGTACTGCACTACTTCTGAAACAGGTATGCTCTTTGCCCTGAAAGTACGAATTAATCTAATACAGGTGGGAAAAAAGATGTGCACAAGTGTAATTTGTTCTGTAGTAAAATAGAAACAGAATTAGCTATGTACATTCACAATCTCAACAAGACAGACTAGGTTCCATAACTCGTCCTCAGCATTATGAGGAAGACAGAGTCTCAGAAATTCAACAGTAGGAGCAGGTAAAGAACATTCTGCAACTGGAATTAATGAGAAGAGAGGCTTCTACTGACACAACTATAAGAACAGGGTAGGGTCATCCCACACCTGTTATTACGAGGAGAATCCTGCATAAGCAGGACCTTCTCCAACCGACATCTGTCCACTTGGGTAAAAGGATGGAAACCAGCTTTGCCCTCTTCTCACTGAATGTATAATCATGAGTAGGTATGGTAAAGTGAATTCTAAACTCACTCAGGAAGAAGCCTCTATGGTCCACCACCTTAGCAACTGGGAAGTGGTAAGGACAAAAAAAGTGGAAGTAAACATGTTGGGAAGTCTGGATGAATATCACACCAGAGAAGGTGCAATGGGTGTCCAAGATTTCGGCAGGTATGGGTAGAAATCCCCCTTCTGCTTTACTCATGAGGTCCAAAAACACTCCATCTCTAAAGTTAACATTATAGTGCAATCAGTAAATAGTGTGAGTTTGATGCAAAGCATAACTGCCCAGGCAACATCTGCTGGAGGGTGGGATCCCATTATCAGTGGTGAAAACAAGTGTTGCTGAAAATAAAAACATTAATGAAAGGAAGTGATAGTACTTACCCCAGTCAAAGGTGAGTGGATGTGTGTAGAATCGCCATGGGAGGGATACAACATCCACCAGAGGAAGATACAGCCAGATCATGCAGATAATGAGAAACAGAAGTATTGGGAGTAGTTCACATTCTGGCCTGGATGACCTCCCCCTATGGATGGTGAAGGCAAGAAATCAAAGATATAGTGATATCTTGAGAAAAACATTGTGGAGATAGCAACCTTCAATTAATAAGTCTTAGTATGCCAGCTAATGAGATGACAAACCCTACCAGTTAACATGACAGAAGATAAATCATGGGAAACAGACGGGTTTCAGAGAATAAAAGTTGGGACCTTGAACCATGAAAGAAGGCAGGGTGTGCCACATAACACCATAAGGAGTGAACCAGACAAAAAAAAAGCTGATCAGAATGGGATTCCTGGTGGGAGATGGAAGTTAAGGAAATGGGTTTGAAAGCTAAACAGCCTTCATGGGCCTCTTAGGTCTGATGGAGGGAGGACCGGTTGGGATATAGTAATATATAAGAAAAATAGTAGAGGAAGTGGATAACATGAAAGGAAAAAATATCTGATCGACGACATCTGCAATCAAAGAGAAGAAGGAAATGGGTCTTGAGGGAGAGATGGTAGATGGAACATAAAGGCTCAAAGAGAAATTGGAAAAACATAGAAAGGACCACACTGAGATCCCAATCAGGCAAATCAAATGAACATGGATGGTACATGACTCAAAAGGAACAAAAAAGAAGGGTAATGATAGAGAAATACAAACCAGATGAAACCTGGAGAAACAGAAGGTGTTCAACAAGGCCACCCAGTAGCTATACACAGTCAATGTGGACAAGCGTTTGTCCAACAAGCAGGTGAAGAATAGGGAAAGATAAGGAATGGAAGGGTGGGAAGGATGGAAACCACATCAATGAGACCAAAGGCAGAAGGTATACCATTGCATGTGATAAATGGTCATGGAAGAAGGTCTAATGGACTGGGAAAGGAAAGATGTAACACGTGGAGACAGTCCCTTGGCTGAAACAATAAACCTGACAAAAGACATGCATGAAGACAGTGTGTGGTAACATCTGGATGAACAATGCCTGACCAAGGTCGACAGAGGTAAGGGTAGGAGAAGTTGAACAAGTAAAGGTCAGAGCAGTGGGAATGATGTATGTGCCAGCCAAGATGGAGCCACCAGTAGGACGAGACACAGAGTGGTTTGGAATAAGCATAGAACTCTGGAGAGGAGTCAAATAGAAGGGTAAGCATAGGTGTGAAGACCCCCTCCAATCTTGACAGGATGTGACCACCCACCCCCAGAGCAAGTGGGTGAGGAATGAGAGACCAAAGGGGAGGAAGTTTGGTGGCCCAGTGGGTGGTGAAGGCATATATGGGGTTTCCCTAGCTGAGAACACACCTACCTAAAGACCTGTGGATCGAGGGACCACTCCTTGAGGAGAATCTTGTTGGGGGAAGATAACTGATCTACCACCAGATTCAGGGAGCCAGGAAAATGGCAAGTTAAGATCACAATGTGGTGACTTTGGGCCCAGAAACAACATCCAATATATGAAAGCACAGAGACCTGAAATTGTTACCTGCTGGCTCTGTGATATAAGTGACCACTGTGGAGATGTCAGAATGTACCATAACCACTCCACTGCCCCACCCCTATAGGAGAGTAAGAAACTGGGACAAGGATTGAAAAAGTGATATGGAAAGAAGACTTCT